CGGGGGCAGCATGTGCCGGGTTCCAGGCAGGGCCAGAGCAGTAAGTAGAGGCCCGGGCACCCTGGGTCTGTCCAGACGGGGGCAGCATGTGCCGGTTTCCAGGCAGGGCCAGAGCAGTAAGTAGAGGCCCGGGCACCCTGGGTCTGTCCAGACGGGGGCAGCATGTGCCGGGTTCCAGGCAGGGCCAGAGCAGTAAGTAGAGGCCCGGGCACCCTGGCGTACATTCAGAGTGTGTGAGCCAGGCACTGGCTCAACACACACAGCCATTTGAAGTGCAGTTCTCAGACTGGTCTGACGACGAGACAGGGCTGAGGGCCCAGTCATCTGCCCGAGGTCGTGCAGCAGACCAGGTGGAGCAGGGATTCCAAACTGAGTCGGAGTAGGCCAGGCCGCAGGGTATGACGTGCCGGGCACGGGGTTCAGGCCAGTCACGGCCTCGAGTGGATGGACCCTTTGTTTTATACGAAGGTGGGAAGTCAGGGAAGCTTTCCTGAGCGACAGCCCCACGCAGGCACTGGGCAGACACTGTGCACTGTGTGGACAGCCCCATCGCTGGGTAAGAGCGCTGAGCACACTTCCCTGTTTCCTGGGTGCTCTGTGTGGACAGCCCCATCCCTGGACAAGAGCTCTGAGCACACTGCCCATCCCCCTTTGGCACTGCTGTCTGGGTGCCCCCCGATCAGGCAGGGCTTCTGCTCCATAGGGAAGCGGGCCTTGGTCCGAGGAGAGGAGCAGGGAGGTGAATGAGGAGGTGGGCGGCAGCATCCGAGGCCCGGCAGGCTGAGAGGAAAGGAGGCTGAGGGGCAGGCAGCTGCCCCCACAGGGCCTCAGAGTGGCGGTGAGGACTGTGGAAGCCCCTGGAACCTCAAGCTGAGCCTCCATTTGCAAGGATCCAGGACAGAAGCAGGGAAGCCAGTTAGGCCACAGAGTAAAGCCTACCAGTGCCCCACCCTCAGCCCCCCAGCTTCTCTGGGACTGGTCCCCACCCTCCAGGAAGACATGGCCCTGTGACGGCCGAACGGGGTGGGGCAGGGCAGGTGCTCTTCCTTTGCAGCAGGTGGCCTGCCCAGACCGCCCCCAGACACAGGTGCAGGCTTCTTTTGGCAGGTGCGTTACCAGGCACGAATGGTGGGCCAGGCCCTGGGCCCAGTCCTCATGAACCCCGGCAGTGGGTTGCCATCCCACTGAGAGGACAGCACTGACCCTCAGAGGCTAAGCCCCGCAGGAGGCAGAGCATCCCTCGTGTATCTTCTCACTGCTGCCACAGCGTCGTTTTCAGCTCACCTGAAAAGTGGGAGGAACAAAGGCGTGGAGTGGGGAGGGGGGGCACGGAATCTGAGCTCTGGGAGGGTCCGCGCTCACTCAGCCTGCTCAAAGCATCGCTCACCTGGCCTCTTGTAAGCAGAGGCTATGCCTCAGGGCCACCGTGCCAGCCCACTGGCCCCTTCCTCGCACAGTGAGAGCCCAGACAGGTGTGTCACTCGCTCTGGGCACTCAGCCCCTCAGGGCCACGAGTGGGACCAGAACCCAAGTCTCCGGGCTCCCAGCCCAAAGTTGTTCCTCTGGACTCCCTGACAGTGAGTCCTCAGGAAGGGGCTCTGCCCACAGGAGGTTGGGACCCAGTCACTCGTCACTTGCCCCCCTCTGTGGCTTTCCTAACACCCTATCAGGGCCCCCTGGTGCTCAGATCTGGCTGTGTGGGAAGGCTTTTACCCACTGTGCCACCAGAACTTGATGCTAAGCTGAGCAGCTTTGCCCCAACCCATTCAGAGCTCTCAAGTCCCTGAGCGACTGTGGATTCCCCCTCCCACGCCCCACCAGTGAGACCCCCATGCTGTGTCCTTCACCCACCCTTCACCTGCCACCACACGTGTGCCGTACTGCGCCTCCATCACGTACACATGTGCCACACTGCATGTTCACCCCACACCTCTGCCATACTGCACATACATTACATACACATCACATCACATTGGATACATAGCGTACATGTGCACACCATACCACAGTACACATACACCACCATAAATGCACACAGCACACATCTCACCACACCAGTCACACTACCCGCACTATATCACATACACCACACTACATACACAAACACTCACACTCCTTACCCCTTAACCACACGTACCACATGTACATGCAACACCACGCACATAGATCCCATAAGACTATGCCACCCTTAGACACACACCACCCCCATGCTAGCCCGGCCCTGCCCCTGCAGCACGCCCCTCTCTCACCCAGATGGAAAGCAGCAGTGAGAAGAACCTCGGTGACTGGATGGTGAGACCGGCATGGGGAGGGGCCAGGAGACCTGGGTGCTGCTACCTGGGCAAAACGGGGCCAAGGAGATGCTCTCTGAGGGCGTGGGGGCCATGGCCGAGCGGAGGAGGAAGGAGGGCGCCCTGGGTGCCAGGTGGCCAGGGCTCTTGTGCTCCATGGCTTAGCCAGCTCCCAGGTTGGCCCAGCGGCCTGCCTCTGGACAGAGCGCCTCTGCCTGCGGGTTGAGCAGGAGAGAGGGGCTGCTGCTAGCTGGGAAGTGGGCCCCTGCCTTTCCTCTGGGCGCTGGGCTTCTGGGGCTGCTGGCAGAGCTTGGGGTTGGACTGGCTGGGGCAGAGGTGGCCTCCCTCCTCTCGGCAAACTGGAGCAGTGGCTCACAGGGCCCTGAGCGTCTCCCCGGGGCCTCCCGACTGCAGCCCGATCGTGGGGGCTGCTCCACCTTCCTCCACCTGATGGGAAATTGTATCAGGGATGACTGTACACCCCGGAGGGGTCGAGGCAGACTGGAACCTTCTAGTCTCACCCTGCTGGCAGCGGGTGTGCCCACAGCAAAGTAACCAGAGGGGGCGGGGAGCAGATGGATGGAAAGCCCTGTCCTGGGCCTGGACCAGGGTCACGCACCAGTGGGGACTTCACCCACTGAACCCCCTGGCCCTTGACCTCGTTCCCTGCCCACACAGCGGGCAGGATGGTGGAGACAGGCAGCTGGGCAGCAGCGTCTGCATTCCCGTGCATCCAGGCCAGGAGTATATGGAGGAAAGGACAGTTGTGTCCACCCCAAAAGGGGCAGACTGCCCACTGAGTTCAGAGAGAGGAGCTGCCTGCCTTGTCCCCCCCACGCACCCCCTCCCTGCCTTCCAGATCCCCGTCACCCAGGCCTGCCTCATGGAGGACATTGAACAGTGGCTGTCCACGGACGTGGTGAGTCAGGCACCCCCTCGGGCCAGGGCCATGGGCAGTAGGGGGGCACAAGTGAGCAGCTGGTGAGGAAGGGAGAGGGCTCACCTGACCTTCAGCAGCCTGATGGAGTGGGGCCTGCCTCTCCCTTGGACACTTCCTGTTCCCAACAAACTCAAGGCCATTGAGACGGTTCTGACCCAGGCGGCCCAGTAGAGGAGGGCAAACTGCCCAGGTGAGTCCCTGAGATGGGAACGCTCTGTCACAGCTAACCACCTCTCCTCTGCTTCCCTCCCAGGGAAACGATGCCCGCGCCGCCGCTGCCGCCGCCGCCGAGGGAGAGAAGGGTGTCACCAGTGAAGGTAGTAGTCCCCAGGCAGCACTGCCCTCCCGGAGCCGCCAGGGCCCACACCCACCCACTCTCTCTCTCTCTCTTCCCCCTCTCTCTAGAATTCGATAAGTTCCTAGAAGAACGGGCCAAGGCTGCCGAGCGGTTGCCGAACCTCACCAGCCCCTCAGCTGAGGGTCCCCCAGGCCCCCCTCCGGGCGCCGCCCCTCGGAAAAAGGCCCCAAAGAAAGATGACGACATGTTGTTTGCCTTATGAGTGGGGGCTGCTCCCACCCCTGCTGGGGGCCTCTCTCCTCTCCTTCGGTGTTTAGGCTGCTTCGGGGGGCCTGTCCCCTCTTCCCTCTTCGCTGGAGCTGTGCCGGGCTGCCTGGTGGTGGAGGGAGGGAGCTGGTCAGTCGGAGAGCAAGTCAGTTCTCCTTGGGACCCCGGCCACCCTGCCTCCTCTCCCACCCAGCCCCCCACTGCAACTGGACGGGCTGGCCACTGGGCTGCCGTTCTGTTACTTCCCGTCCTGGGGAAGCCCTCCAGGGCCCCACAGCTGGGCCTGAACCACTCAGCCCTCCCCCAGCCCTGCCTTGGGGGCCCAGGGGCTCCAACTGGCTGCTAAGGGCAGGTGTGCCCCTCAGAGCTGCAGGCTGGTCAGGTACGAGACCAGCCCAGGCTCCAGGCTGCCTGGGGTGCCACAGTCTGCACTATCTCTACTGCCTTTTCATCGTCTTTGCTCCCCCGGGACAGCCCCCCCCCCACACCCCATCCTGGCCCCGTGTGCTCTTGTCCCTTGTCCTGGGAGAGGTGCCTTGTGTCGCCTCAATTAAAGGTAGAAAACTGGCCTGCCCGCAGCACTGTTTTCAGTCTCCTCGGAGAAGGGGCTTCTGGTCTCAACTGGGCTGGTGCCTGTCTGGAAGGTGGGTGTCCCAGGAGGTGGGTATCCACAGGTGGAATGGTGCCAGATGGCCGGCAGCACCTGCTCAGGGGCAGCCCACCATCACCTTCCCACCCAGCTCAGCCACGCAGCCCGACCAGCAGGTGATCTTGCCGGGTGGTGGCCCTGCAAGGTGACAACAGGTCCCTCATGAGAAAGGGATCTACGGGGACATGTTTGCCTGCTGGGTAGTCTGCAGGGCAGGCACTGTGCCAGGCTGGACACACTATGCTGTTGTCCTCTTGGTAAAAATGCCAGGACTTGACCCAGCGGGTCCTGTGAGGGGAGGCCACAGAGGCAGCGGGTTACTGTGCAGGCACATTCTCCTGCGCAAAGACCCCCATCTCAGAGAGAACATGCATGAAGTCGTACACCGCTGCGTGAGGGAGGGAGGGGCTAACACGAGGTCGTCATGGTCTATGATTTGCTGAGAAATAACGTCACAGTATTGAGCAGGGCTGAGGGAGCTGCATGGGCGGTACTGGAACTGTGAGTGGGACACAAACACAAGAGCCTACAAGGTTGGTCCAGGGCGCCCTGACCCAGGCAGGCAGGGCAGGGCTGGGCACTGGGAGGCCCCCAGTAAATGGTCTCCATTAAAGACTGCCAGACAAGCCCTTAAGGGAGGTGCCCATCCCCCTGCTGCCTGGAGGTGGGTGGAGGGCATCCCCATTCCAAGACACTGTGGTGACGGTGAGGGGGATTGGGGTGGAGGTGTCGTGTACACAGAGACTGCAGATGGATTTTGGGCTTTCGCTGTCATCCGTAACCTTCTGCAGACCAGGTGCTCAGAACTGCAGCTCTGAGACCGCCCCTGCGCCCAGGTGGCCCGGCTGCTTTTCCAGGTGTGCTGAGAGGCCCCTCCATCACATCCAGCCGCCAGCGACCCCACCTGGTGTCTGCGGCAGCAAGCTGGCTTCCGGACTTGGTTCCAAGTGATGTCAGCTCCTAACCGGATGTTGTGGCCCATCTCATTTCCTAAAACGTGCCTTTTCCACTGGGTGTGGAGCCACATCTGACCTGTGGCTCTACAAGGTGGGAGCATCACCCAATTCCACACCAGCCCAAGGCTGATGGACAGAAGGCAGCAGCGGTCAAGCCTGCCCCCAGGCCCCAGCCATCATGGCCCTGCCCTGGCACCGTCCATGTGTCCACGGCACTCTGCTTCTCTCTGGGTCGGTCGTTCACTGCAGCGGCCACACGGCACTCACAGGGCGGTTAGGGAAGCCAACCAGTCTCAAAGGGTTAAGGCGACAGCTCTTGTCTGCAATGCCTGTGCTCAGCTGTGCTGCCGGCCGTGTCTCCCTGGTCCTCAGCCTCCCAGCCACGAGGTCCACCTTCGTCCTCAGTGCTGCCTCTGCCACTGGACACACCGCTCTCTCCATGGCTTGTCTCCGGACCGCGGGATTCTCTGCCTCCTGCGGTGCCGCCCTTCTGTGTGCCGCCAGCCACATGGCAAAGCTGGCCAGCGCCTTGCTTGGTGGGCCACACCACCCTGTGTACTAGGGTCCCACCCAGCCACCGGGGGGAGTTGCGGAGACACGGGTAAAAGAGCTGTTAGCGGGCAGAGTCTGGGTCAGTCAACACCATGAAAATGGTAACCCAAAAACCAAACACCCTGCCATCGAGTCCGTGCGGACTCTAGCCACTCCCCAGGTGTGTGTCCGAGGCTAGCTGGTGACGAGAGTAGAGTGCCCAGTCTGCCTGCCAAGGATCTGCTGGTGGTTTTGAACTGCCGACTATGCACAAGCAGCCCAACCAAAGCGTGATAGATGGTTTCACCCCCTACGTTGGCTTATGGACATGCACAATGGTGCGAGAAGACGGCTCACCCAGACTTGGGGGACAAGGAGTGGTTATTGGTCCCAAAGCTTGGGGTGAGATGTGTCTCCCAGATATTCTCTGGGGGTGGGGGTTCATTTGTCCCAGAACCTTCCCTGGTAGGCCTAAGACCACTGCTTACCCACACACAGTTGTGAGCTGCTGCTGTGGACTGTACCCTGGACTGGGCCCCTCCACACCTCCCAGCATCCCTGTGGGGTCCCTGGCTCTGGCCACTTAAGAGGTGAGGAAGCAGGGTCCTAGTCACAGGGCAAACTGTGGAAGTGAGGGCCTGAACCTCTCAACTCACTGTTGTCCACTGCCCCTGGGCTGCCAGTCTTCACCCCCCCCCCTCCCAGAGTGGTGATGTTACCAGGATCAGAGCTAAGGACCTCCCCTGGATGCGGAGGGCTCCAGGGTCCCTGCGGACCATGAACACTGTACAGTCCGCAGCATTCACTGAGTGCCAACCGCATGCCTAGGGTGGGTCAAGGGGCTGGGGATACCAAGGTGGAGGCAGCCAGGCCTCCCTGGTGTAGTGCCTGCTGGGGAGGGAGAGTAAGGACAAACCAAGTGTGGCCCTTTGGATCGGCTCCCAGAGTAACTGGGTACAAAGTCGTGCCTGGGGTCAGGGAGGGCCTGTCAGGCTGGGGAGGAAGACGAGGGAGGGGGGTGGTGGGCAGTGGACAAGCCTGCCCATGGGTAGGCATCGTGCTGGATCACTACAGTGGCCTTGTAAATCGACCGGCTGCTGGGAGCCTTCACCTGGCACCACCACAGGATGAAGGAGGCACCCGCAGTGGCCCAGCCGCTTCAGAAGTGGGTACAGGGCCAGGCCTCCACTGGGCTGGCCTCCAGGACCCCACCCTGGCCTCCGCTCCTCCCTGCCTCCATTGCCTTGCTTGGAGCGTGGGGATAGGACAGGCAACCCCTGGTTGTGAGGCAAGAGTAGTAGCCCCATCTGCACCCACCCCTGATTCCAGACCAGCCGTCTGAGCATGTCAGGGACCCCAGCCCAGCACCCATGCTCACAGTGGTCTCTGCCTCCAAGTTCACCTCCGCCCTGACTCTCCATCTGGCACTTACCACAGCGCCCCTCCCCGCCTGCCTGGGGGCTCTGAGGTAGTCAGAATCTCAATGCCCCGTGACGCCCACCAGGTGGCAGCAGCGCTGCACGTGCGGCGCCTGCAGGGGCCTGTGGGTGCGGTGCTGCCAGCTCCTGGCCCTTACAGGTGCCCCTGCGGCATCACAGACGGGTCTGCAGGACCACACAGCGTGGTGGGAAGATTCCCAGAGCAGACAGTGCTGCCCTGACACTCCGCCTGCTGAGCTCCTGAAGCTGCCTGAGCCTTGGTCATAGCCACAGGTCACGTCACACTTATTTACACACCTGTCTCAGACTAGGGCTCCGTGGGCCTTGGGCCTCTGCTGCGCACACAGCAGGGCTCAGCAAAGGATGCACCCACGCTAACAAGGGACTCACTCGGAGACAAGATGCGGGGCAAGTGTGCCACCTGCTTCTCAGGCTTCCTTCCCCCCTGGGACAAAGGCAATCCTGCACAGGAAATGAAGGTGGGAACCACCAGCCACTACCACCAACTCCTGCCCAACTACCTGTCCCGGTAGTTGCGGGAGAACCTCCACCTCCAGCAATGGCACCGAGGGCGGAGGGGATGGCAGAGGACCGGACTGCCTTCCTTCTTCACGTGGGGTCGGTGGCTGTCGGAACCAGCTTGACGGCACCTAACATCAGCGTGAGCCCGTCCTGAGAGCAAAACGTCACAAGGAAAGGACTTGGAACCCTGCTCATTCGTAATGGCTTCTAGAGCAATTCCAGCGGTCCCACAACACACTGGACTCTTCATTCAGCTGCTCACAAGAGTAGCAGCTGGTGCTTCCAGTCCACTCAGAGGTGGCATGGAAGAAAGTCCTGGCCATCGGGAGCAGTCCCTGAAAACGCCATGGAGACCAGTCTGCGCTAACAGCATCAACTGGCCTTAGGACACCTGAGCTTACCGTCACGAGAGCCAGCTGTGACCCCATCAGACCCCGGGGGCAAGCGTCCAAATCCCTGCTGGATCAGAGGTTGAAGGCTGAGTTCAGCAGGTGGAGAGAACACAGGAGTCCCTGGAGAGGAGCAAGTTATTCATTCATAACTCATTCACTCGGCAAATCTTCATGATCTTCTCTTTGCCAGCACATTCCCCAGGCGCGGAGAATCCAACAGCCGAGAACGGGTGGTCGCTGACTGGTTGGAACGCCCAAGCTAGT